AGAGAGAGAGAGAGAGAGAGAGAGAGAGAGGAGAGAGAGAGAGAGAGAGAGAGAGAGAGAGAGAGATTCTCTAAAATGTATTAAAAAAAAAAACTAAATTGTTTAATTCACTGACAAAACAGTAAAAAAGTTTCAAATTGTGTGTGAGTACAATAACATAAAACTAAAGAGCATAAATACTATTATATTGATATATGAAAAACTACAAAGTTCTTTATCACAAATACGAGTGAACAGTCATTTTGCAGAAGTATAACAATTACCGGTAGATGTATAATTCCAAAAATGCATGATATAAGAATCAGTCATTTACAGTCCACTACAATGATCCCTTGGTCCAGCTACATTGTATCTATTGGCCTTCTTCATAGAACCTTAATATCATCTGATACTACCCTCTCCTAGTATATGGGGAAAATAGACAGCAAAAAATGAAAGAAAACTCAACCACTATCTTCAAACGAGAAGAAGGTGAACGGGAAGATCAATGAACGAAAAAGAATGGCACTACAGCATCTTCTGGCATGAAGAAATGACAAAAGAACTTCCTCCACAACTTCTGAGTTTAATTTTCCCAAATAATGTACCCGCAAATTTTAATCATCATCAGATTCTAGCGTTGGACTCTGATAGCAGCTCTCCTTTTGATGGAGCTCCAACATTTTCTTTTCTGGATTACACAGGCCTGCAGATATATAATAACCCAGGCATCATTCATACAACATAGCCAAAACCTGATGCGCATCTGATGATTTACTTTGATGCTATAAAGTTTAGCAGTCGATCACAACTACTCAAATAAAATGCTTTTTAAAAAGAATAAAAACATGCTTTTAGGAGATGTTCAGAATAAAAAATTTGGATGGAAAGACGTGGAGAAAAAATATGCAGAGTAAGAACCTAAGGAGTAAAAATCCCTCAATTTATTTTCTAATACATTTCATAAACCCTTACGACATTTGTTAGCAAGACTCTTGTCTTAATGCAGTCGAAATGTATCCCTCTTTTTTTCTCTCTAAACTTCTCCCGCCATAGTTGTGGACAGAAAGATACTATAACATTTGTGGGCAAAGAAAAAAACCAACCTGAACACTTGGGAATATCCCACACAGCAATAGATGTGGCTGTACAGTCTGTAGCACAAAGTTCGAGATTGTTCTCATGTTTGACATTCATTGCAAGCATCCAAGCTCCAATAGTAACATCTTCATTGCTGAACATCCGGAAACTGTGAAACAGTGCAAATATTAAATTTGATATGGGAAGGGGTCAGGTACTGAATAGTGTTCATAACATGTTTATTTATTATAAGGAAAGGATGAAACATATTTTAAAATGGCATGACCTGCTAAGCATGACAATGTATGAATTAGTGTGGGACATTTGAGGGATAGAATGAATGACGCCGGCCGGTTCATAAGTTCCAAATAATTGATTGACTTATTTGAAGCAATGTTTTCAGAACCAGTCTATAAATGAACTTTAATTTCTGGAAAATGTTATCATGTGTTCTAAGGTTTCGTGTAAAGAAATTCAAAATAGAAATATTATCTTAAAAGTTGTGCACTCAATTTCTTAAAAGTTTAAATATCAATTTTACTTTTACATTCTTACAAGTTAACAAATGTTATTTTTATAAGCAAGTTAACAAGATAACATGCTTAAATAGAATAAACTCAAGACCTAATAGGCTTATTTATAGTACCACCACATACTAAATTATAAAAATAACTACCGTTAAAATACAAAAGACTAAGAGATATTTGAATAAACCGTGTGTTTTGAAAAGAACTACGGAGACTTTATTATATATAGAGAGATTATAGTTAATTATATGATATAGTCGATGTGGGACTATTCTATATACAAATATTCTTAACACTATATATTTACAATATCAACACTCCCCCTCAAGCTGGAGCATATATGTCAAATGACCAAGCTTGTCACATATATAATTAGTTCTGAGACTTCGCATGGATTTTGTAAACACATCTGTCAATTGATCATTAGAGTTGACAAAGCTTGTGATGATGTCGCCAGATTCAATCTTCTCTCTGACAAAGTGACAGTCTATCTCAATATGTTTGGTCCTCTCATGGAAGACTGGATTTGAAGCAATGTGCAATGCAGCTTGATTGTCACAAAGAAGTGTCATTGGTCTTGCTTCTTCAATTTGAAAGTTCTTTGAGCAATTGTTTTAACCAAATGAGTTCACATGTTGTCATTGCCATGGCCCTATACTCTGCCTCGACGCTTGATCTTGCAACTACATTTTGTTTCTTACTTTTCCAAGCTATAAGGTTTCCTCCAACAAGTACACAATATCCAGAGATGGATCGTCTATCAATGGGTGACTCTGCCCAATCGGCATCGGAGTATCCAACTATCCGATGAGTATGTCATTTATCTTCATACACTAAATCTTTTCCTGGAACACATTTGATATATCTCAGAATCCGGATAACATCATCCATGTGTTCCTGACAAGGGGGATTTAAGAACCGGCTTACCACACTAACTGCAAAAGAAATGTCTGGACGAGTAACTGTGAGATAATTCAACTTTCCAACCAATCTCCTATACCTTCCTGAGTCTGATAGAGACTCTCCCTGATTGGGTAGTAGTTTGACACTTGGATCATAGGAGTATTAGCTGGTTTAGCGTTTCAACAAACCTGTTTCTTCTAAAATATCCATAGCATATTTTCGCTGAGAAATCATCAAACCATCTTTAGATTGGGCTACCTAATACCCAAGAAATAGCGGAGTTTACCAAGATCTTTTGTCTGAAATTGATTCGAGAGATGTTGTTTCAACTGAAGTATTTCCTGTTGATCACTACCAGTTATGACAATATCATCTAAACAATAAGATAAATACACCCTTGGGCTGAGTGACGATAAAAGACAGAATGGTCAGCTTCACTACGGACCATACCAAATTGCTGTACTACAGTGTTGAATCTGCCAAACCAAACTCTCGAAGATTGCTTAAGACCATAAAGAGACATGTGTAGCCTACAAATCATATTCGATGACTCCCCCTGAGCAACAAACCTAGGTGGTTGCCCCATATATACTTCCTCTTCAAGATCACCATGTAAAAATGCATTTTTGATGTCAAGTTGATGAAGAGGCCAATGTCGAATGGCTGCAATGGCTAGAAGAAGTCTAACAGGTGTCATCTTGGCTACAAGCGAGAAGGCATCATTATAATCCAACCCAAAAATCTGAGTGTATCATTTGACTACCAAGCGAGCTTTAAATCGATCAATCTTACCATGTAGACCAACTTTCACTGTATAAAACCAACGGCAACCTACTAAAGATTTCTCAGGGGTAGAGGAACCAGTTTCCAGATTCCACTGCTTTGAAGAACACACATTTCATCAACACATTTCAGGGTGAGATAATGCTTCACCTGGAGTTTTAGGAATAGAAACAAAAGACAAAGAAGACAAACAAGTATACTGCAAAGGGGAAAGACGATGATAGCATAAATCAATATACTATGGAGAAGGATTTCGTGTTAGACGTATACCTTTTCGAAGGGCAATCGGAAGATCGGACTCAGGTTGCAGGATCGGATTCGGTGATGACGAGTGAATCGGAGGAGAGTTTACAATAACCTCAGGGACAGGTACGACCTCAAGGACAGGTACGACAAACGTTGGTTGACGACGCTGATATGTTTGAAGTGGGCGAGAAGTGGGGGGGTCAACCGTAGGGTTATCTAGTGGGTCAGGTTCCCTAGAATGATGGGGGGATTATGATAGATGGGACTTCTAGAAGAGGTGTGGGAGTACTCTTCCGAAGGGATTCCGAAGTTACTTGACTGGACTCGAAATATGGAACAGACTCGAAGAAGGTGACATCGGCCGACATGAGGTATCGTTGTAGAGTATGTGAATAGCAACGATAACCTTTTTGGGATCGATGATAACCAAGAAAAACACATTTTAGTGATCGAGCTGATAGTTTATCAAAACCAAGAGAGAGATTGTGTACAAAACATGTAGAGAACAGAAGTAATGGAGAGAGAACGTAGAATTTGAACAGTATTAATTCCTTCGGATCGGGTTTGAGAACCATTGACAGAAGTTATAGTAGGTAAAAAACCAGAGGTAGAGAGAGAAGAGAAAATATTTTTATTACCGATAACATGATCAGACGCACCAGAATCAAGGACCCAAGGTCCAAGAGAAGATGATTGAAAGAGACAAACAGATGAATTACCAGTGTGTGTCACCGAAGCAGTAGAATCTGAGTTCCGATAATTCTGATACCACCTGAGGAAATCATCGAAGTTTGGCGTAAAGTTCTGAGGAGTAGCCATGAGTATCTGAAGAGAGAAAATATCACGCGAACCGGATGAAAAAGACTCTGTTTGAACTGGATCACAGTTTTCCGTGAGTAAAAAATAAAATCTGAGGCCGGATCTGGAACAAGGGCAGGAAGACGAGTGGGCTGGTGGAAAAGTCGTCGGGATCGGCCAAATCGGAGGAGGTGCTTATGCCGGTAGTGTTGGTTTGCCGGAAGGTCGCTGGAAACAGTAGCGATGGCGGCAATAGTGACCAGAGAAATTAGAAAACTGATGTCGGAATGAGTCACGGCTGTGTAATGAAGGCAAACCGGAGTTATGACACGGTTTGTCAAATTTCTCACCGAAAGACAGTGGGTCAACCGGGTAAAGCACGGTGATGGGTTGTCTCTCAATAGGCTCTGGATACCATATTAAAATACGAGAGACTAAGAGATATTTGAATAAACCGTGTGTTTTGAAAGCACTACGGAGACTTTATCATATATAGAGAGATTATAATTAATTACATCATATAGTCGATGTGAGACTATTCTATATACAAATATTCTTAACACTATATGTTTACAAATATCAACTACAAATACTACTCTTTAACAATCTAGTATTTACAACACTTTCTCTTTAGCCACTTAATGGATATCAATCATTTAAGCTTGCAAGTAAGTTGGTTGAACAGTTCAACTTGTGAACTCTTGATAACCAAAAAGAATGTAAGTTATACTTATCAATCTACTATTCAACTCTCTAATGAAATGTCAGTCAATCTCAATGTGTTATATTTTGTCATACTAAACAGGATTATGTGCAATATTGATGACCGATTCATCGTCACAAAATAGCTCCTTAAGGCCTTCACTACATCCTCAAATCTTCTAACACTTGTTTCATCCAAAATAGCTCACAATTTTCTTGTCCCATAACTCTAAATCAAGCTTCACCGCTTAATTGAATCCACTACATTTTGCTTCTTGCTCCTCAAAGCAACGAGTGTTCCACACAAAAAGGTACAATAGCTAGAAGTAGATCTTCGATCACTTTCTGAATCTACTTATTCAGCATTAGTGTATGTTTCTACAATCAAACTTGCACTTCCTTTAAATAGGAGTCCTTTCACTAGAGTGACTTTAAGATATTGTAGAACTTGTTATACATCTTAAAAACGTTTTGCCCTTGGATCGTGTATGATGTGACTCACCACATAAATCACCTAAGCCAAATTCAATCTAGTGTGTGCCAAATAAATCAACTTTTCCACTAATCTCTAATATTGTACCTTCTCAACTTTTATCACTCAGTCAAACCATCTTTTGTAATAATAATATCATCAACATAGATAAGAAGTACACTTAGTTTTCCTCCTCGTGAATATTTGAAGAGAAAATTATTATCTCCTTGGCTTAGCTTATAGCCTAAGACACCATTGCTTTTGTGAATCTTCCACATCATGTCTGAAGAGATTGCTTAAATCCATACAAGACATTTCTCAATCATCACGCCTTTTTAGTTGTGAAACCAAATCCTAGGAAAATCTCCACATACAGCTTTTTCTCAAAGCTTTCAATGGGTGTAGTTTTCAACAAGAGTAAGCGGCGGAAGATAATAATATTTAAATTGTATTCATCTTCGTCATTGGAGCAAATGTCTCCTCATAATCAATGTCATATGTCTGAGTATGTTTTTTTACCACTAGTCTGGCCTTGTCACATTCAAGAGTGTCATCGAACATGTATTTTACCATATAGATTGATATGCCATCCAACTGATTTCTTACATCCTTTCCTTTCAACAATCTTTTAAGTCCGAATTTTTTTCAAGTGCTTTCATTTTCTAATTTATAACTTGGACCAATTTTATTTTTCAATGTCTCTTGAACACATGGTGGAGTTCTCAAAAAGACAACTACAATAAAACTAAATACTGCGGGTGGGAAATATTTAGAGGAGAGAAAATGATAAACATGATACATACATTCCCCTCGTTATAGAGCTTTCAGTGTCAGAGACCAATGTAGGTTATACCCTTAATGCAGTTTGAAGCCCCCCCCCCCTTTGTATGCCATTTCCTTTTGCAATGCTCACAATAAAATTCGTCACGACTAGACATGGATAAAGATCTTGATTCCTGCTTTCCTGTTTTTTTTGCTGACACGTCAAGAGGCTTCTCATTAAGTATAGCATGTCAACGTGTCTCCCCAAATTGAACATTGTACAAAACTTTATTAAGAGTGGGAAACTTTTCCTTACCGAAAAATCAAACCTAACTTTCAATCCTGCCAAAAAAATCAAAGATCTTATCTCTCACAGTGAGAGCATTCACAGTGGTAGCATCTTTGTTGTACTCCATTTTCAAATTCTATTACTGGTCTAGTTAAAGCCAAAGGCCACCGAGAATCCCAAAATACTCGATCACTGTGAGACTTCCTTGTTTTGTGTTGAATATTTTCCTCTTTAAGTGTTAACATGCAGACATCTCTTGTTTCATGAGGTAAGGTAACTCTGGCAAATGTTTTGCCAAACTTTGCAAGCAGTGGGAAGGAACATACAATTTCTACTAATTTCTAGAGTTATGGAGTTCCACATCCAAGTCATTACTATCAGATTAATCAGTATCCCACATAAGAAAATTAGTATCAGTTACCAGATAAGGATTTCCTTCAATATGGTCAGCATATCATTTCACAACCTTTTAGCATGAGGCATATCAACTCAGACCATTAAAAATAACTTTTTCCATTGAAGCATTAAACTTTTTAAACGATGTAATTGATATCAATAAAAGGAGTTCGTGTAGCCTTTAGAGGAGATGGAGGTTGAGTAGTGTGGGTTTTGGGGTCCCTCCAGCAATAATAATTTCTGCCATTGAACAGAATAAGCAAAACAAAGTGTTGAGCTTTCAATCGGAAAAGAAATCCGGAATCAAATAATACCCCAAAAATGAAGTATCTCAGAAGGGTTTTCGACCACAGCCACAGAAACCGAACGAGGAGAGAGGTTGGCGATCAAACAGGGGGGGGGGGAAAGGTGACCGGCGGCCTGGAAAGCGGTGCGTGACTGTCAAGTGCCGGAGACGGAGCAGCACGGGGACTTGAGGCGTCAGAGAAGGAGGTGCGCGTGACAGAGCTGGCGGTGACATTCAGCGAGTTTTTTTATCATTCAACCTGATTTTTTGAGATGATGCTGATAGTGTGGTCATCAACACGAAATATGTGGTCTATGATTGTTAAACACACATGAACAGTAGCAATTGCAAGATGTAAACAGTAACAATATAGGGTTCACAGTTAACAAATTACGGTGTATAGAATCACGTACGGAATTCCATCACGCTATATAGAAACAAATAGTGTCTTTCAAATATGGGAAAATAGCAGGAAAAAATTGAATTGCATCATGATATAGAGTAGAAAATAGCACAAAGTATAGAAGGATAAAGGGATATAATCATGATGTATAGAAACAACAGTAGATGAAAACATGCAACAGTAGAAGACTTCGTTCGTATGAGAAAGATGTGATATCGGCAAAATAGAATAGAGTGTCAAAAGTTGAAGAAAACAAAGAGGGATAAATTAGTAATATAATAAGTGAGTCGTCCCATCCTATTTCATCAAAGTTGAGGGGAAGCAAAATAGAGGTGGGTAATGCAATGAGATGGAATGGATACTGTCACATTCCATTCCATCCTTTTTATTAAATCCAAACAATGGAACACAGTGTCATTCAATTTCATCACATTTCATCAATCCAAACATACTCTAATGGACTTGCTTAACGAGTCACATACATGCAAAAATATTACTATTCAAAGTCTATTATTTACAACAGATACTAACAAACAACTTTAGGGATCGATTCAATGGCCATGATGATATTCAAAGGAAGCAACAGTTGTATATCATGACATGGACAAGTTTAAACCATGGATTTAAGAACCAAATGACATAGACAAACTCCACCACACAATATTATGGATAGTAATAAAATGAGAATACAGCTCCCAATCAATTTTGACCATGAAACCACTCATTGCTCAACATGACTAGCCAAAACTTAATACAGTATATCAACTTGTATTTTATTTTTTAAAGATATAAACGGAAATTATCCAACCCTAGCAATAGCAGACATGTTAATATTCACAATCCATTTAATGAGACGGAGAAAAAGCAAATATGCAAAACACAAAAATATCAATAGTATTTAAATCCGAATAGGCCACCCCCTCCATGTTCTGAAGGAAAGAAAGCATACCTATCATTTCGAAGAACAACCAAGCTTGAAACAACATCAGCAGAAAGAGCATATATAGGACCATAAGCATGAAAAAAATACTCCTTTCCAAGCAAATGTGATAGTGGCTCATACCTGCAAGATATTATTTAATATAGTATAATTGCTCCATAGACAAAAGAAGTTAATATGTTGGTTACAAAGCGGCTCTTTTGAATGTCACTATAGACAGTAGAGCGAGGCTAGATAGAACATATCGGAAAAAAAAACAAAAGAAGAAAAAAGTAATGGTAACATACGACCCACAACACGAATCAGCACTCAGGTATCGCAGCATAAGATGGGAAATTGTTTCAATTAACCAACAATTGCAATTGGGAATAAATTTCCCAACTGTCAACAATTAAGCACAAATATTTTTGGTCATCCGAATCTATTTATGGTAAAAGAATGATGTGTTCTACAATTATTATTTTTATAGTTAACCGATACATTTATTATATAGTTAAGAACAAGATAAATGTGTATATGTTATGTACTTAATAAGTTATTAGTATCTTAAGATTCATGAGAGTCATAACCCAATTTGATGACAAAACTAAACCCAATCAATACAAATCTTCAAGTGCATCTATTTTAGACCTGAATCCCAATTCATTGGGATGAATAATAATTCACTATGATGAATCTAGATTCACTAATGAATTACAAACAAAACTTAGTGTAGTCAACCACTTTTTTTATCAATCTGGATAGCCAACCACATTTCTTTTGTCATTTGATCTACGACTTGAATCTTGATATATTTTGAAGTTTATATATAACATATTAGCTTCTACTTTGCTATGTAACTTGTTTTTACTTACAAATACCATATTTTTACTGATCATGTATGATTGATAACAATATTTGATTGATGATTCAGAAAATACGTCTTCCAAATTCACTGTTTGAATCTTGATTTGATAACCATGGATAGCACAAATTTCAAAAGTTTTGTCTGCAGTAATCAAATGGAAAAGTAAAAATGACAGAAAATAGAAGTTCAAGATGTCATTTTGAAGTCCATGTGTGTATAGTAACATTTTCATAATTTTGATGAATTATATATTTATTTTGATTAAGCCAGTAAATTATCATGCCTCAAGTTTTGAATGAATGTGTAAAGCCGGTCTAGTTTAGAACCTATGGTTTTAAACTCGATTTTGGTTCTTAGAACACTTCCTCCAAATAAAAGGAAAGAAATTTTAAAATAAAGTTGTTAAGAAAGCTTGAAAATTAATCATGTGACATTGGGTCACTTTCACCGCAGTAATTGTTTATTTCTAAATCCTACAGCTAATTATATTAGTACTATTTATACTTTTTTTTTTCTCAAACAAACAGTGCCATTCAAGAAAGATCCCAACAATTTCTAAATATTAATCTCATTGCAACAAAGAAGCAAATTAAAGCATAAAATAAGTTGAACCAAAGCAAAACTAACCATTTGAGTTTCGGATCTGTGAAAACAGGTCCTTTTTTCATACATCCAATGTAAGTCTGAGTATGAGACCGCTCTTTTGCCAGCAGTAATGAAAGACGATCTGACAAGAAATTGAAAATGTATTAGTAAAACTTATCCAAGAAGCATAATGCAATGACATATAGAATCTTATCGGTTACTATAAGTCTTAAAGATTTTCACCAGGTCTCAAATATATGTCATCATCAGCTTTGACATAAAAGTCAGCTTCAAAAAGACCATAAGCCGCTTTAAAGAAAGCTAACCTGTAAACAAAGGAACAGTAAAATTAGTAAGAAATTACATAAACAATTGAAGAATTCAATGATTTCCAGCACACACACGTTTTGTATGGGAGCTTACTGTACTCCTCTTGAATATCCAAGAGAATGAAATCATCATATTCTGCTATTTCGTTTTTAAGTGCAGACATCTTTGAAGTATCACTTGTTCTGCCAATGACAAATCTAAAAGCCAAACCAGTGGATTCTTCCAAGCTGCAAGTAACAGGGAATAATCAAATTATTATTAGTGTGAGCGTCGTGCTAACAATTTCAGACATTTCAACTAGGGTTAATCAATTGGAAGAAAGAATACCGTTGAAGGGCTTGTTGATCGGACGGGAACCAAGTCTTTCTGAGCGATTCTCTCCTCCGAACAGATCCGAATCCGGTCTGAATCCCCACAAAACCCATAACCTTGTGGCGATTGGGGAGGCCATGAGTTCCGGCGGCGGTGGAATGTTCCCAAACGACTTTGACTGATCTTGGATTGGCGTTGAGGCAGCGGTGTCCCTGAAATGGACGGAAAAAGAGAAAAGTGGCGATGCTGAGGAGAAGGGCGGAGAGGACGAGAAAAATGGTGGATCTGCGAGAGGAGAAGGCGGCAACGTTGTGGCCGTGGAACTTGGAGGAGTAGTTAGGCATGGTATGGTAATGGCTAGCTAGCTCATGGAATTCAAAACTCCACCAGCTTGGATTTCTGGCAGTGTCTACGCAGAAATCCAAGTTAAACTGCTGCTGGTAAATCAGTTACTTTTGTCATACTCAGATTCATCAAAGATCAATCTATAACAAAAATTAATAGATTTTATTCATAAATAATATATATTATAAAGTGATAAATAATTTTAGATGTATTTATTAAAAGAAGAAAATTTACCTTGGTATTATTTTTATTATTTTTTAATAAAAATATAATAATTATATTTAAATATAATTTATGTAGTGAAAATAGCAGAAAATCATATATAGGTAATAAATATATGATAATTATATTTATTATATTTTTATTGAAAAAGAATAAAAATGACACCTAAAAAATTATAGGAAAGTTTTCTTTAATGAAGAATGACATTGGTTCTTCATCACCATAAGATTAGTGTCTCCTACCCCTTCTATCGAATAAAAGTAATAATCGTATTCCATATTTATAAAATATCTACAAAATAGGTATATATAAATTTTGAGATATATGTGAATATTTAAGGATAAATAAATATATTAATTTTTAAAAATTGAAAATAATTATAATTATAATTAATTTTGTATCCTCTTTTAAAAATATATAAAAATAGTTAAATATAGCACATATAATAATAATAATAATAATAATAATAATAATAATAATAATAATAATAATAATAATAATAATAGAGAAAAAAATACACAATGTAAAATATTTTTACACTCTCAATCAATAAGAAATATATATTATAATAAAATATATTTTTATTCTTAAAATATTAAAATCTTCGAGCCCATAATATTTCACTTATTTTTTAAAGTTTTAATTCTAATTATTATGCTATTTGAAAAAAAAATTACTAATAATAATAATAATTTTATATTTAATAAAATAATATTTAAATAATTTTAATAATGAGTTTTATCCATGAATATTTACAGGTATAAATTTTTTGACATTCCTAATGGAGAGAAGTTTACGAAGGAAGGATATAAATATTTGTGAATAAGTTTTTTTATTAAAAGATATAATATAGTTTTTGTTAAAGAATAATTTTTATGTTAAAAGTGAACTAATTATTTTGAGTAGTTTTTAAAAAATAATTTTTAATAAAAGTAAGATAAAAACATAAATTATAGCATTTATATTTTTCAATTATATTTATTTATATTTTTGTTATTTTAATTTGATAAAATGTTAGTAGTGAATTGTTAGTATTTTTTTAATTATATTAATTGATATTATTTTAACATGCAATATTTTTAACTTGAATACATTTTTAATCATAATTAGTAAAAATAATATATATGTATGTACGGATTCTGGTCTGATATATACATTGTTAATATTTATAAATATATCTGTAACAAAAGAAATAAAAAATAATGATATAAATACATAGAGAAAGATAAAAAATATAAATAGAATGGTTATTATATCAGCAACAATTAAAAGAAACAAATATATAAACAAATAAAAAATAGGGTTAAATAAGTTATCGGTCCCTATAAATATAGCGATTTTCAATTTTAGTCCCTGTAAAATTTTCCTTCAATGATTGGTCTCTATAAATTTTTTCATCCATATTTTTAGTCCTCAACGTTAAAACTCACTAACGACTGATGACGTGTCTTGACAGGTGGAAAAAATGTTTTTTTTAATTTTTTTTTAATTTAAGCTTTCACGGTGTACACGTGGAATTAAGTAGTAAACATTTTGTTACCATTTCCAAATCAAGAAGCCCCAAATGCAAAACCATACATTTTTGAAGGTGGTCCCTAGGTTCTTCTCCATCGAAACAAATAGTTGTGGTCCCTGATTCCTAAGGCGCATGTGAAAGTTGTGGTCGTAGGTTAGTCCTACTTGCGTTATGAATTTGTCTTGGTTGTTGAATTTTCGCATTTGTATATAGGATTTCATCTGTTTTCATTTGTCCCACATAGTTTATCTTGTGCAATTTAGGGTTTTGTAGTTAGCTTTTAATATGTAATGTCAAATATACCCTATGAAATACTTGTAATTTATAGGAAATGAGGTTATTTAAGGTGTTGGTTTATACCAAGGGTCATTTTGTAAAGGACTCGGATCTAAGGTACGAGGGTGGGGATGTATACGTAATCAAGGGGTAAGATTCTGATTATTGGTCGTACTTTGAAGCATGTGACCTACTTAAGGTAACAGACTCATTATTTAACGTTGATCAAGTGAAAATATGGTGGAAGAGTGAATATGGTTTACTTGAAAATGATCTGAAACCATTTACAAATGATGAAGATGCAGTAATGTTAGCTACAGTTGTTGAGCAGAAAAACTGTGATGGTGAAATATATATAGAGGAAAAGCCACCAACGGATGAAATGACATACATGGAGAGACTAATGAAGAAACAAAAGGGACATGATCTTGAGGACAATGATGACGAGAGGGGTGAGGACTCTATGAATGACATACACTTTGATGATAATGAAGAAGAGATGATGCATGACTTTGATGAAGATCAAAGGGATGAAGGGTTAAGGGAGAATGTTGAAGCTAATGTTACAAGTGAAACGCCTAGAAGGGAGAATGTTAAAGGTAATGTTCCAAGTGAAGCACCTAGAAGGTTTACTACTGCAGAGATGGATAGGGAATACGTCATAGAAGAAGAATATATGACATATGAACTTGATAGTGGGGCAGAAGAGGAAAATTGTAAGGACAGGCCTGCGGTTATTAGGTTTAATGAGGAGCAAACACTTACCAAGGATTTCACATTCAAGGTTGGCATGGAATTCTCATCACTATTTTGGAGCATAATATGTTGAATGGTAGGGAGGTAGAGTTTGTAAAGAATGATGGGAGTAGGTGCATGGTTGTTTGTAAGGAGAATAAGAAATGTAGCTACACTGTTCATTGTCCTATGCAGCATAGTTTTGAGAACTACAACTTTTAGGATTAAAACTTTGTTGCATAAACACAAATGTGGAAGAAAGTTTTATAATAAGAATGTTAATACTGATTGGGCTGCTAGTGTAATTGTTGACAAGTTAAAAAACAATTCTAGCATGAGGTTGAATGAGGTGGTAGCTGATATAAGATTGAGGTTTTCTACAAAAATCACTAGATGTAAGGATTTCAAAGCTAGGAAGTTAGCAAGGCAAGTTGTTGAATGTGACTCAGCCAAGCAATATAGTTTGTTGAGGTCTATGGTGCTGAATTGAGGAGGGCATCTCAAGGAAGCACAATCAAGTTAAACATTGGAAGACCAACACTTTGATTGCAACCAAGGTTTGAAAAGTGCTACATGTGTTTTGATGGGACAAAGAAGGCTTTGAAATTGGCATGTAGGCCATTCATAAGATTAGATGGGTATCACTTCAAGAACAAATAGGGTGGTATTTTGTTGATAGTTGTTGGGAGGGATGCAAATGACCAGTATCTTCCTATTTCATTTGAGGTTATAGAGAATGAGACCAGGGACTCTTGGAGTTGGTTTGTTAAGTTACTACTTGAAGACATTGGAGGTGATAGTAGGTGGTGTTTCATATTTGATCAGCAAAAGGTACGTTTAACATTATTTTGTTATTGAAACTTGTTTGTGATTCTAGTTTAATAATGATTCATGTATGTGTATAAGGACTAGTGCAAGTATTTGTGGAAGAGTATGCTGAGTTTAAACATAGATTTTGCCTAAGGCATCTGTATGTTAAATTCAAGAAGAAGTTTGGAGGTGGTACCATGTTCAGAGATCTCGTGATGGCTGCAACAAAGGCAACATACTTTGAAGCACGTGAAGCCAATATGTGGAAATCAAGGAGGTAAGTGTAGATGCATTTTAATGGATAAATGTTATACCTAGGCATAAATGGTGTAAGCATGCATTCCCTTTTTACTCTAAGTCGATGTTCTGATGAACAACCTTAGTGAATCATTCAATTCAACTATATTAATGAAAAGGGACAAGCATATTATAACCATGCTTGAGTGGATTAGGAATTACCCAATGGGTAGGTTTGCGACACTTATGGAAAAAATGGAAAATTATAAAGGGGAAATAATGTATAAACTACTTAGGAGGTTAGATAGAGAGATAGAAAAGAGTGCAAGTTGGATGCCAACATATTCAGGTAGATTAACCTTTCAAGTGTCACATGTAATGTTCACTGATATCTTGGTTGTAAATTTGGAGAAGAATACTTGCTCATGTAACTTTTGGGAGTTAGTAGGGATCCCATGTAGACATGTTGTTGCAGCCATACATAGGAAAGTTGATGATCCCATCAAGTAAGTGCATAAGTGTTATCATAAGGACGCATATGTGACATGCTACAATGAAGTTATCACTCCCATCAATGGGCAAAACAAATGGCCAAAGACAGGTGATCCTGAAATCTTACCACCCATGTTCAAGAGAGGTCCAGGTAGGCCAAAGAAATTCCGCAGAAGAGACCCATATGAGGCTTCAGAAACTAGATGGAAAAGATCAAACACAAGTCACGAGTGTAAGACATGATTAGATTATTTCCACAACACAAGAACATACAAGAATAATAAACAACTTGCATTTATTCCTGGTCAAGTTATTGCACCTAGAGATGCAAAAAATATTGTTACACCTGGAATTGCAACAAATGTTGTTGCACCTGGAATTGCAACAAATGTTGATGCACCAACTCAGGCTAGCCAAGCTCCAATAGCAAAGAAAAGAGTAAGTGTTACTTATAATTGAAATGTGCCTACAATTACTTATAATTGATCAATGACTTTACCATGTGCTAACAGGGTCGTCCAAAAGGGAAGGGAGGTCCAGCCAAAAACGCAAAAGCAAAACAAACTCCACACGCTGCTCACCCTGCACAAGAAACTTCTCAGACTGATGATAATATATCTACACATGTTTCTCATCCTACATAATAAGCTTCTAAGACTGTTCATTTTACACTACAAGCTTCTATGAGTTCATATAAGGTAATGAGAAGGT